AAATGAGCAGTTGTTCCATAGAAATTAAAGAGCCAGTGTAAGGTATACAAGTGACAGAAGGCGGTGTTTAATAATATTTATATAAATTACACAATTAAGGATGTCATCCGCACATTTAACCACAGGACGTTTAAATGTGGAAATTATACAAAAGCAAGCAAAAAAACAGTTACTTTGTTTACTCGAAAAATGTGATGGCACAAAGGTATTGAAAATAACCTTTCCAAACTTTTGGATATTTATTATTATTTTTATAATGAGTAAAATTTATTACAAATTTCGTTTTATAATTCTTACAATTTATATCATGTACAATTAAAGAATAACTATATATTTTATGTGTAGTTTGTCTGAATTATAAATAAACATTTTTAACAATATTTTAATAGGCAATTGTATGGGATCAATCTCTTAAAGGACCCATTGATCTTATTGCAAAATGCAGTTCACTTGATGTTGTTAAAATGTATCCTCTATGTGGTGGAAACTTGACAATACCATCAAATATTGTTAATGTAATATTTATAACTAGACCTCAATTAGATCATATGGATTTAATTGCTGAAAATATTCATGGGTATGGGTAAACTGAGAAATAAATTTAAAATTTGGATTTCAATGTGATAATATTATAGAACTTACATAGTAATTAATTTGCAGTGAACAAGGAAAAAGACCACGCAAAGAATTTCATTTATTTTTTGTGCCTAGAAAAAGTCTTCTTTGTCAAAAGAGACTTCAAGATCAAGGTGTCTTTGGTACTTTGACATTAATAGAAGAATTTAAATGTGATTTGTTTCCCTTTGATAGTGATCTCCTTTCCATGGAACTTAGTGGATCATTTAGGGAATTTTATTTAGAAAATGATCCCACTTGCTTATATCAAGTAGCACAAGCTATTCATGGCTTAGAAAAATTATATGGAAAAATTCCCAAAGTTACCGGAAGAGGACCTGCTGCTAGTAAAGTTTGGGAATTATTGGAAAGATTAAATCGAGAAGAGGAGGATAATAAAGCAACATCTATTCAATTACCTACTATAGAACATTTATTATTATTAGATCGGTCTGTAGATTTACTTTCACCCTTAGTTACACAATTAACATATGAAGGATTAATAGATGAAATTTTTGGAATAAAATATAGTTGAGTACTTTTTTTATTTTTAATAGTACTTTGTAAAAGTAATTTTATCAATTTTGTTGTTATTTTTCTATAACGTTATAATTTTAGATACTGTACAGTTACCAGCAAGTAATTTTCGTGATTCTCAAGATTCCCCAATGTGTCTTAATGAAACAAAACAAATCGTTTTAAATTCTGGAGAAGAATTATTTGCAAAAATTAGGTGAGTATTTTTATGTCTTAACACCTTGACGACTGTACGTTTCGTGTAAATACTGTTGCCTACCGCTGGCATCCCTCGCACTTTTCACAGAGTCCTTCATAGTATAATTACAATATATTTATTGAAAGGAACATATAAACCATAATTATTTAAAATTTATAATATTACTTTTATTTTTATTTTTATATAATGCTGGCAGAGTAAAATCACATTTATGTGATGCTAGCCAATAATCACTGGTTAGCGATATCACGCATGCGTAACAACGGCAGTCAATATTAATACGATTTCAAATTTTACAAGATTTTTTTAATTATAGAGATAAAAATTTTAATGGGGTAGGACCTATTCTTAGTATGAAAGCTAAAGTTATTTCATCTCAGTTTGATGAAAGACATGGAGATAAAAGTGTACAAGAAATTAAACAATTTGTAGCAAAATTACCGTCTATGTTGGCTAGTAAGCAATCATTAGCAAAACGTAAGTTCTTTGAATTTCATTCAGTAGTACTAAGTGTCATTAAATATAATATAATTTACTACATATTGTATGTATTTTTAATTTCTTCCTAGATACAACAATAGCAGAAATGATAAAAGGAGTAACAGATTCAAGTAGTTTTTTAGAATCATTACAAGTGGAACAAGAATTGTTAAATTGTATAGATACAGATAAACCAAATGCTTTTATAGAAGATATGATAGCCCAGCAGCTACCACTTCTTAAAGTTTTACGACTTCTTTGTATACAATCTTTAACAAATTCTGGACTTAAACCAAAATTATTGGACTACTATAAAAGAGAAATAATACAAACATATGGGTATCAAAATTTACCAACTATATTAAATTTAGAGAAAGCTGGACTATTAAAACAACAACAATCTGCTCGTCAGTATGCAGTTTTACGGAAAGCATTAAGACTTACAGTTGAAGATGAAAGTGAAATTACACCAAAGGATATAAGTTATGTTCATTCTATATATGCACCTCTAAGTGTTCGGCTAGCAGAACAACTTCTACATCCAAATGGTTGGCAGGGTTTAAATGATGTAATGGGATTATTACCAGGTCCTACTATTGTTAATGCTCCATATGACATCCGACCATCTGGAAGAAGTAAGAAACATATATACAAAATGTATTTCAAATTGTACTATAATTGTAATATATAAACTAATTTTTAGGAAATTCTATTACTAGTGAAGACTCAGAACCACCAAAGTTAGTAATGGTTTTCTTTATTGGAGGATGTACATTTGCAGAAATTTCTGCTCTGAGATTTTTGTCTCAGCAAGAAGATTGTAAGTAATATTAAAGTTCTATTGCCTTATTACAATTATTGTTAGAATTTTATAATTAGCTTTTACTTGCGTATATAATATATTTTAAGAAAAATTTTTATTTTCAGCAA